AGACATGTAAATATGAAAATAGATAAATATAAATTGTGGCCCATTTTTCTAATTCAACAAATTGAAATAAATTGAATTGAGGTGGCTTTTACTTGCTGAAAATCCATTTATCAAAATGAATAAGAACTAAGAGTTCAGATTTTCACGAAATTATATATTTTTACATTATGTATATGTTACATTATGTATGTATGTAAAAATATATAATTCTGTGAAAATCTGAACTTTTAGTTCTTATTTATTTTGAATTGAAAAAACAAAAACAATAAGTTTTATAACTCCAGTAAAACTATGTCTTCTGAGTTAACAAGTAAAAATTTATGTTGACAAAATTTTTGTGAAAATGAAAACCTTTTAAATTTTAATATAATAGACCTAAATAGTTTTTATTTTCAATCTCAATCAACTATGTCATCGTGTGATCCAGATAAATATTTGAATTGGCAAAATAGCATTTATTGTCATTGTCAATTGTGTGCAGTTAATGAAATGTAAGTTTGAAAATAAATTGTTTTTAAATGGCTGATATGCTCGAGTCTTTGAACCATTCGTTTCAGATATATTACAGTTTTAAGTAAAATAAAAAAATATCTACAGGGTGCGCCAAATTTGAGGTTTTTGGAGGTATGGGCTGTTTTTAGCGAAGGTAGGCCAAAACCTTCTGTTATTTTTCTTTCTGTTAGTTTCACAAATAAAAAAGGTATAATTCGTACTTAGTACTTAAAAAAAAGGTATCGATTATTATTTGACACATAATTATTTATTTTAAAGAAAATTAAGTAAGGGTGTAAGTATTTTAAGTATTTTTAGGACCAACGTTTCATATCAACATATATGTCAACATAATTTTTTGAAAAAATGTCGATGTTTGCGAAGAAAATTGGTTCTTGCCAGTTTGAAAATGAAAATTTCAACTTCGAAAAAGCAAAAAAGAATAAATAATAAAAATTCTAGAAAAGCTTGCTGTGATTGGTCTTCCAACGAGGTGGTAAATTGAAATGAGAGTCGATTTAAACCTGAACCCTTCCAGCTAAACAGTGTTCCCTTCCCTTTCAGTTATTAAATAGGCTATAACGTCCCTCGTATTCGAAGAGAGGATAAACGTTTAAGTCCCCGAGTGTATATTTTCAATTGCCCGTTTCACTCCGGACGATTGGGCTTCTGGGTCAGTAATGTTAAACCCCTCACGCTGGACTAAGGGCAAGTCTTGATTGTGGTTGAAACTTATGTAGTCCCAAATCAAAGAGGGTCTCTAGAAACGGATCGGCTGCATAGGTTAAGCTAAATGTATCCATGAAGTTTTAAGCAAAATTAATATTAATTGTTATATAATCAAAGTAGAGCCCAAAATAACCAAAATTATTTAATAACATGTTTTTATTCATTTCATTGTCATTCACTTGTTTCCAATAGCTTTCGCTTCTGTTACAGGAACGTTTCCCAAAAATACTATTCCAGTTTACACGTAAGTTTCATTTTTTAAGTAAAGCAGTTGAGTATTCTACTCCTACTTAGTGCATCAATATCAAAGATCATTGAATCAGTATTAAAAAACCACTACTACTTTGGTTCGACAACGAATGGCATAGGGTTAAAAAAAATTAAGAAATTACGGGCGTTGCGGGCTCTGGAGGGAGGGAACCTTCAATCGGGGTCCATACGACATTTTAGAGGGCTGTCGCGGGGATCGCGGTGTCATGGGCATGCCGAGTGACGTCATGATCCCCGAGATGACCTTCTTTGACAAATTGACCTTTCTCTTCCCATCAAGGCAAGAGTGGAGAGAGGGCAGAGTCGGCTTCTGGGATGGACTTGTCTGGTGCACGGACGGGTCCAGAATGGGAGATCTGGCCGGAGCTGGAGCGTACTGCGAGACAACGGGATCGAGCTTGTCGGTCCCTCTGGGTCAGTACTGCACTGTGTTTCAGGCGGAAATTTTCGCTTTATTGATGGCGGCCAGAGAAGTGCTTCGGCTCAGCCACGGAAGCAGGAGAGTCTTCTTCTGCTCGGATAGTAGGGCTGCACTTATGGCACTGAAGTCAGTGCGTACGCGGTGTTTGTTGATGAAGGAGTGCAAAGGGGTACTGAGGAGGGTGGCTGAGGAGAGGAAGGTCACGTTGGTCTGGGTCCCGGGTCACACCGGTATCCGGGGCAATGAGGCAGCGGACTCCTTAGCCAGAGAGGGCTCCTCGCATAGGCATATAGGGCCAGAGCCCCGCTTGGGGATCGCCCCGTATGTGAGGCGGGGCGAGAGACCGGGCCGCGGTGGGCTGGAGAGTTGCTCCGGGAATGAGGCAGGCGAGGCTTATGATGGATGCGCCCGCCCTCCCTCGGACGAGAGAGCTGCTTTGACTGACCAGAAGGGAGCACTAACAGGGGCCTACACAGGACATTGCAGGCTTAGGAGGCATCTTTGCTTGCTAGGCATTGGAGACGACCCGGAGTGCAGGTGGTGCATGGAAGGGGAGGAGACCCGTATCATCTGCTCACCGAGTGCCCTGCTTTGAAACGGGCAAGATTGGGGTCTTCGGAATGGCCCTGATCGTTCCGGACTCAGTGCACGGTATTGGCTAAAGGAGTTGCTGCCCTTCTATAGGAGAGGCGGCATTGTGGCCCTCTAGAGCGGCCTGGGGGCACAACGGCCCCATCTGGTGGCCTAAGTGCTTGGACGCCCGCGAGGGCGCCCCCCTTTAAACCAATACCAATAATAATAATAATAGTATTTTTTAGAAAAATTAAAATATTTAAAAAATTATGTATTATTATTCATAAAAAATTTGAAGATTTTAGAAACGGATTCAAACCAAAATTTAAGAATTTGGCGTTTCAATGAAAAAAAAAAGTATCTTTTATTTGTCACGTTTTTTGAGTCACCCTGTATACTTTGAAACAATGTTAAATTGTTAAACAATATTTACAGTTTTGGTAATTACTATTTTCTCATAACTTTTGAAATCTTATTCTATCTTTGTCTCGCCCTGTATAAAACTGTAAACAAAAGGGCGATATACCCATAGAACACGAAAGTACCAGCGATCTGGATCCGAGCGTGTATCGCCGCTCCTAGTTTATTATCCCGTCCCCTTCGACTGAGTTGTTCCCTTGACTCTTTTGGCATGTTTATTGCCCTAATTTAGGCGTACATCTTTTCGGGGTTGCAGAGGGTGCAAGTCGGGTGTTTCTGTGTCACTGGACGGCGATAAAATCCTGAATTGTGTAAAAACCCAGCCCTCTGCGAAGCTCCGTGGCGTTATTTGACACGCGTCCGAACGTTTTACAAAATTAACTGAGTTTGCGTGAGTAAAGTCCTTTTCGTAAATGCAATTCAATTTAACTGGCACTAGTAAAATCTCGCACTTAAATTAACAAAATTTGTTAAAAGCAAGTTTTCTTAAATATACAAATGTATGCGAAAAAAATTGATGACGTTACTCAGTTTCCAAATTTGGAAAAACACATAGACTTGAGATTATTTAATTTCATTTAGAGGTATTGTATTCGATCACTTAGGCTTGAAATTGAACGTTAATAGTATATTATGCAACAAGTGCTGTAAACGGCACGTGACTCATGAGTTTATTTGACACGAGCGGAGCACAGCGGAGCGTGTGTCCTCTGATAACTTAATCTTGGTAACTCAATTGAATTCCAAGTAATGTCTAATATTTAAAATGTTTATTCCATTTTTATTGAAGAGAGGGCAATAAAAAAGAGGCAATTTTCTATTTCAATTCGTAAATGATTTAATATTTTGAATATTCGAATATTTTCAACCTTAGATTTAAAAAAATACCTTGTGGGCGACAGATATTTTCAACGTTTAACTGAATTATCACAATTTTATCATAAAAAAAAAGAAATATTTTACAAGAAAAAACGAAGGTTGTTATCAAACATCAAACAACATCAAACAAGCTTTCTTAAAATTGGAAATTGGAAAATAACGAAAGACAACCAAAAATGAAATCGTAAAATGTTACATCTTTTTATGCAAATTAAAAAACTTAAAACAACTTTTCATCTCATATGAATAGGGCTCTTCGACAAACTATTGTAATTGGAGAGAATGAAAAAATAACCAAAAAAAAAAGCCGGAGAAAATAGTGTTTATTTTGTTTAACAAATTTTGTGAAAAACGGAAAAAAACATCAGTTTCGAAATGTTTTTTTTAATCAAATAAGTTAATAAAAAAATTAAAAATAACATCGTAGAAATAGAAAAACTAAACAATATATATAATATATTTAAATATATTCACTAGGACTGTCTTTCTAATTAAAGGGAATCAAAAATAACCAAATATAAATCGAATGTCGCATTAATTTAGAATTAATGAAATATACAAAAACTAAACACATATAGAATAGGAATTTTTTAAAAAAATTTGTTATTAAAGAGAATCAAAGATAATCAAAAATAAAACCCAAGCATTATTTCACATAACTTTTTTGCTGAAAAAGCAAAAAACTAAAACAACTTTTGTAATTAAAGAAAACCAAAAAAATAGAGTCGAGACGGTCGCTTTTATTTTGCATAACGTTTTTACTGAAAAAGACAAAAGAATGGTTACTGTGCAACGCATATAGAGTGGGGTTTTCTCAAAATATTTGTGTAATTAAAGAGAATCAAAAATAACCAAAAACAATAAGCTAAGATATAACAGGAAGTGGCATTGATTTTGTATAATTTTTTTTTTAAGACAAGAACATAAACATCATTTGAACACATATACGGTGGGGTTTATCCAAATATTTTTTTAGCTAAAGAGAATCAAAACTAACAAAAATATTTTTGTCATTAAATAGAATCAAAAAAGTAAAAGTCTCATTGATTTTGTATAACTTTTTTAGCGAAAAATACAAAAAAAAACTAAAATAATTTTTCCACGCATAGAATAATTTTATTCTCGGATAACACCTCAAGCCGCAACCCTCTATGAGCGGATTTTTTTAAAATTCAAAATTCAACTTTTAATTCTTTCGGCTAATGTCATTACTCACGAAACGATCCTCTGTTCCTGTGGTCAGCTCTAGAACCATCATTCAAAATATTCGACACTTTATCCGCTCCAGATGGCTTTACATTTTAGAAAAAATGTCACGACTTCACTTCCGGTGCACCGCAAATAACGTCATAGTGACGTATTCGCCGTAACCAAATTAATACCAAAATTATGATTCGAAATTTTCGTCGTTTTGGATTTCGCGCCGCGCGTTTTCGTTCCCTCACTCTCCGAACCGAGCAACTAGTGAAAACAAACTAACGTCGAGCAATGTTTGGCCAATGCGATGTGTGAGCGCCGGTTTCATTCACGGAAAACTCGCGGGAGCGATGAAGAGGGGGGAGGCGCCAAAAGGAAAATCGCTTTTGACGGTTTCTTGTTCTCGTAGGAGGCGACGACACCGTGACGTCAAGAGGACGACGTATCTGAATACGTCGCACAGTGATAGAAAATGCAATTCTAGGATTCCAAAAATATTAACGCTAGATAAGCATTTATTTCGGTTATATAAATTAAGGTAGATACTAATTAACTCTCAAAATATACATAAAAGTTGTTGCAAAAGTTGATTTATATATTTATTTTTTGTAATAATTATAATTACAATATGACAAACTAGTGTCCCATTTCTTACCACTACTGTACCTATTAAGATAAATTTAACTAACAATGCTGATACGAAACGTGATGCTAGAATTATTAAATTTTACCACTATGTAAAATCTAAACATATTCTGTGTATACAAGGTAGGTAGGTACATTTTTTTTATCTACCAAATTTAATAAAAAAAACAATAATTGTTCATGTTCTAACCAATCCAATCAGTTAATTTTATCACCTGAATAACTTTACACTTCAGTTCATTTTTTGAGATAAAAAAAAACAAAGTCACTGTAAAAGTTAATGTTATACATTTATAAAGTATTTGATTATAATAAATCAATATTACCTAACTATAATTAATAATACAAATGGTGAAAAATGAAATATCTTATATATCAAATTAAATTCAGGTTCTGCTAGAAGATTGATAACTTCTGTACTAAAAACACTTTCTTTTTTTGGTGGTACAACTCTCAAACTAGATACAAGAGAGTCTGAAGAGACTAAAAGAATATTAAATAAGTCTTTGTTGCAATCATTTCTAGATATCTTCCTAGTATTATGCTCCCTATAGTACTTAACCTCTTTGTGCCTCAATTCCCGGGCATCCTCTCCCAGCTGTCCTATCGGTAATAAAAAGTTATCGATAACTGGATTCTGGATGAAATAGCAGGGTCCGAAAAAAAATCTCCTAGTCGTATTCCCATCACTCGTATTACCGAACCCCGCTTTGAGAATATCGACTAGCAAACCTACTTCTTCCCAAATTTTTTTAATTATTTTCTGTTTCCTTAACTACACGAGATGTAGTATGATCTAATAATGATTGCAAAGGAACTTCGACTGATGAGTTAGTCACTAGGATTTTATTAGGGTAGCATTGTTTTTTGGCCACTAAAATTTTATCATAAGTGGGAAACAATTTTTTGAAACCTTTTTGGTGGTCTTGGTCCTGATTTTAAAATTTCTTCCAAAAGGCATTTTTCATGTATACGCTTGAACTTTGTTAAACAACGTTTCGATTTGTTCCACTTTTCATGCAGTTTCTTGAGAACCAAATACTTATCTTGGGCTAAAAGATGCTCACCCCCAATGATATGTAAAGTATAATCACGTCACGTTTTTTAGGGTGTAAAGGGCCATGTGATTTTAAAATTTCGAATAAGTCGATACGCCTAATCGTCGCGGATTTGTCTCTAAAACTACAAATTGATGTAGAACGGGAAGGGGCGCGTGGTGGCAAAAGTTTTTTGATTTTTTCGAAAAAAAATAAACTAGGCAAGAAGATGGTGTTAATATCTAGCAGTCGCAAATAGTCGCAAAAAAGTTCTACTCTGCTATACAACAATGCTACCGCATTTAGACTTTAATTTTCAATGTATACCTAACTGAGCGGCATAAAAACTCTTTTTCACTAGATATCATAAATATATGTAAAACATACACTACACACCTCCAGAAATATGCATATATGAAATGTCGCGACTTGTTAGAGCGTGTAGCTTTTGTTTCTCGTCTAGGGCGACTAAGATTATATTGTTATTGTTAATTAAGTATCTCTAAAGGATGAATGAATGATTTGAATTTTGGAACTGAAGGGCTCAACAATAATAATATTCTTATTATTACAATTTCCAATCATTTCTAAAGAAATTTCATTTCTTGATTTTTTTTCAATCCAATTTACGGCTTTCGCTTAAAAAATAAAAACTTCTTCTCTGCCTGGTCATAAGAACATGCAGAGAAATTGGTTTTTATTAAATTAATATGCTCATAAATGAATCTTACCATTTCCTTCGTAGCACTTTCATTCTCACTTTTTGAAAAAAATATACGAAAGCTGTAGAGTTCAAGATGACTTTCTGCATTATTTTCACTACCAAGTGGTAAATACCACCTTTGCGGGGGTGGGGGGTATGCTAAAATCGAAGAATTTGGTTTTTCTAAAATATTTATTGATATGCCTCTGATTCCAATTCCAAGTAATGTCTAATGTTTAAAATACTTATTCCATATTTATTGAAAAAAGGGCAATAAAAAAAGACGCAATTTTCTATTTTAATGCGTAAATGATATTCGAATATTTCCAACCTTAGATTTAAAAAATACCTTGTAGGCGACAGATATTTTCAAACATGGATGCTTTACAAGCTTTCTTAAAATTGGAAATTGCAAAATAACGAAAGACAACCAAAAATGAAATCGTACAAAGTTGCAATTAAAAAAATTGTAAAAATAACCAAAAATAAAGCCGTAGAAAATCGCGTTTATTTTGTTATTAATTATTATTATTATTATATTATATAAAAAATTCGTCTAGACTATGAAATGTTCTGGAAAACAAAACAAATTTTTTCTACTCCCGTCTGAAAAATGCCTAATTATACATCGATCTAGCGTGCGGAAGGCGTTACTTTACCACGTCAGTTTTGGTTTCACACGAATCCGAGCCACTTCGGACATTTCCGGGATTTTACCGCACGGGTGTGGGAGCGATCGGATGTTTTCGGAGATTTTACCGCACGACTTGAATTTTGGCGTTTGTCAATTCTGACGGTCATGTTAGTGAATGTATTCGTGTTATAGCTCAAAAGGCAACTCATAGCCCTTTAAATCCATTACAGAGAAACAAAATTTCTGTTACGTGGTTATCGAAAAACTCGAGTTCATCAATTTTGCGAAAATACCGCGGTAATCTCCATCTGCCAAGTGAGACAAAGGATAAACTTGTACGTGCACGTATATACGTATGATTTATCGCTACTTTCTTGGAACAAAACACACCAATCGATTTGGTTTCGCGTCTACCAGCGCCAGCTTCTTATTCAAATCCCGGATAAATATGCAAACACGTGAAATATATTCGATACGTGCTCTTCCAATCGCATTCGAAAATTAGTTTCGCGATTTGGGTTTCAAATAGCCCATCGTGTAACAAATATTATAATTTTTATGCTTAACATTGTAGATACATAGATAAATAGTTTATTCATAAAAATTATGTGTACAAAATTATTGTTACAACGTGTAATAAACATTTTGCAAATGCAAATTAAATTAGAGCATAAGTTTTGTTTAAATATTGGGGTTTTTTATTTGCAATACATATGGTATTAATTAACACAATTAAAATTTAATTTAAAGAAATTAAAATCATAGGTTTCAAAATCGGAGATATCCGAAAGAAAACATAATCATCAATTTCTTTTGAATTTTTTCTTCGCCTTAATTAAACATATATCTGCATTTTTTGTTTAACAACAACTTGTCGTTACGTGACGTGAGATGTTACATTTTTATTACAATTACAATTCTCTCAGAAATTCCAGAATGGTGTCGAAATCAATATCTCCAGCAAGAGCAACCGTGTATACATTTGTTTTGGAAAATAGTTGTAGGAGTAATAAATATCGAGTTATATTTCCGGATCTCTCAATGCGGTTGAAGTTTGGCACTAGCCTATTGTAATTCTTTGTTTTTACAGGTCTGTATTCTGTCCACACGAGGTGGAATTAAAATTTTTAATTTCCTAAAGAACTACCGACACTTCTTCCTGCAACGAAACTCAGAGATATCACAAACCCATTCTATTTGCTGTACAAATATCTTACCAATATGACAGGAATGACCCCACGGTATGCTATTTGAAGAATTTCGCTGGATGTCACTTTTCGTTTATTTATTTATTTATTTATTTATTTATTTTTTATTTATTTTGTTCATTTTATTTATTTATCTTAAAACAAAGTTCCTTTATATGACGAACTAACGCCACAACAAGAAAAATGAAAGAAAGTAGAAATAAATTACATTTAGTTCCTTAATGACATTGAGTTATAAAGCAAAAATATCTATGTGCAAAAGTAACTGTAATAGTTTCTTTGCAAAAGAGATATTTATGAGTTGTTGCCTAAATTTGTATTATACTTGGCACATAGAATAAAGCGGGCGTTCTAGTCATTACCAACTTAGCAGTAAACGATAATTTTTAACAGTTTTCTACAGCCTACTCGATTATTAACAATATAATGCAAAAATATAACACTTCTAGAAATACGATCTATAGATCAGCGAACTAAACTTCTAATAGGAATTTGTTTTAATTATTATTGACAAATGGTGGAAGCCGATAGAGTAAATGGTTTTCCAGAGAATAAGTTTTTTCTGAAACATACAGTGCGTCGTAATAATCAATGACGTAATCGCTTCTTGACTGAACCCGAGGTATAGTGATTTTCATATGGATTTTTTGAAATATCTAGAGCAGCTTGTAAATTGTAGCTCTTGATGCGGCCTTTGACACTCTTTGGACCGATTTTTGATTCGCGATTAATGATTTACTATGGAAAAGAACAATTTTCTGGTTCTTTTAGATTTTTGACTATACTTGGAAAACCCTGTATATAATCGAAAAAATGCCTGAAATAAATGTTATAGCACTGGATCTTCCATGTCTGCTGGTTAACGAATTTTGACGATGCGGTCAATCGTTATGAAGAAAAGCATGTTTTTGTGGAAGCCCAAATAACCAAAAAAATTCAAAATTTTGAAAAAATACTTGGCAAAATTTGATTGCACCCAATTTCTACTGTTTAAATGTGGGCATAGACTTTTACTTCTCTGCTAAATTTGAATAATTTCTTATAATTGAAAACCTT